GAGTTTAGCATTGCACAGCCGTGTGCATATCTGAATGCACACGCCAGTCGATATGAGCATTGAGAGGGGAGAACAATCTCGTGGCATGGGCAAATTGTCAACGCACCTGATTTGTGTGTGTGCAGGGTTGACTTTGTGGACTCGCTGGGCCGATCGAGACGCTGCTTGAGGAAGGATCTGCGTGACTTACAGGAAATGGACAAAAAGCTGTCTGGCAGCAGGGGGTGAGATTCCACTTTTCACCACGTTGAGCTAACGGGCAATCACGTGTACGTGTATTTAACCATCGTGACGTGCCTTCTTTTGTTACATGTTTTCATGTTGAGTGGTTTACACAGAATCCAGGTTTTTAACTTGTTTTAATACGTATAGAAATGTACCCTCATGTAAATGGATGTACATAACACACGAGCTGTTCTCCAAATGGGGAGGCAGCAAGTGAATGACCACCCATTATACATTGTTGATTTTTGTTGTTGTTGAATCTTTGTGTGTAACCTGGCAGGCCCGTGGCCGGTGAACGGACTCTGCTGTCGGAGGATATGCGAAAGGAGATGGAACGCGAGCGCTGGGAGAAAGAGCAGGAGGAGCTGCGGGCGCAGCCAATTGGTCCTATCCACTACGAACACCTCCGAGAGCACGGTGCGAACACACGCACACAGGCCCACGGGGAGAGATTGCTGGATGTTCTTGGCAGGAGCACTCCCGTCAAAGCTACGGCACCCTAGTCCACGAAAAATAATCAACATTATGCACAAACTCGTTCTTCGGTTGTTGTTGTTGTAAAGCGTCATGGGTCTTAACATTTGGCAACCCAGTAGCATTGCGTGAAACAAGCCCGACCCTTTTGATGGGGTCAGAGGTACAAAACTGGTCCAGAGTCTTGCTCGCAAGTGTGTGCGGGTGTTTGTGTATGCATGTGCAGCGTCCTCTTTGTGTTCAAAACAGAGGTACGAGATCTGGGCGTCGGCTACTTTGCATTTTCCAAGGATGAGCTCAAGCGCAAGAGACAGATGGATACCCTGGACATGCTGCGAGATCAGGTGGGCCAATATGGTTCCTCTGCATTGCCCACCGGCTGACTGATCGCTGTCGATTGACTAAGTCAGTTGCTGCTTGTTTTTGCCTGGAATTACCCTGTTGTCCTCTCCTTGGAAGCATGGAAGCGTAACCTTTGCATCACACCAACCCGTTGTCAAATTGCTCGTGTTGAATTTGATGGGGGGATAGATACACCTCTTACAATTTAGGGTTTGTCCATGAGAGTGAATTTAATGTTATTTATAATTCAACATTTTCGTGCCTCCACATCCATTATTTAGATTCCAATTATTTTTAAAAAAATGTCCACTCTAATGTTCATTCTCCTTAATCCGATGCCAAACTCGCCAAACTCGCCAATCATCCTCCCAACCTATAAGCTTTACCCAACATTTCATGGAAATCACCCGGAATGATGTAGCATTTTGCCCTCACTTAACTAGTTGGTTAAATTCATTTGACATGTAATTTGTGGAAATTTTAAAACATTTCAAGACGTGGTTTGGATGTATCGTGGACATGAGGAATCGATTGATCAATGCGTCGTTGAACAATCTTAGTTGCCCATCTCATTGACCCTGGAGGGATGACTATGCGCTAAGTTGGTTCCGTATTGGGATTTAAATTTGCGACTATCCCATGGCGAATCTTTGCTTTACACCCCCACTACGTACACTCGCCAAGCGTGGTTTGCTTCTGCACAGACACTAGACCAACGCTCCAAGAGAGAGAAGCTGAAGGAAAAGCGTCAGGCCGTGTTGGAGGCCCGGCTGGAGCGAGTGCGCCAGCGCAAGGGCAAGAAGCCTGCCACGGATGGGCCCGAGAGAGAGACGCTGGATGGAGGTTGGTTCAAACGCACCGCGTCTGCAGCGCGGTGATAGACAAATGTGCACATTTTGACTCTCTCGTGCATGAATTGTGAAGAGCAAAAACCAATCGCTACAGTACATTTTGAATCTATATTTTTCTTTTCAAAAGATTCTGATCGTGTCCATTGGTGGGTGCTGAACTTCTGCCAACTGCTGTTATATGGAATGTGAAGCTCTGCTTTAGCCCTCCCGTGTTCTGGCAATAGTCGACACTTTGTCCAGCACTCTGGTCACTGCCACGCAGGATAGATTACGTCCTACGGAGATGACTGTGCATCCACCAAAGTTTTGCGGCTTTGTGCACTGTGATTGAGGTGCAAACAAATCGTAGCAGTCCACTATAGAAGATGTTATGAATGAGAGTAAAAAAAAACATTAAAATGCAAATCAAAAGTCAGTGGCAGGCTGAGCCTGCATTTGTATTATTCATAAACATGGTGAAGGGCTCTTGGATTGTAAAATCGATGTTAATTGGTTATAAAAAAATATACTGTTTCTGAACTAAAGGCGAACATTCGCTCACGTTTTAACTTGTCTAATTGCTGTAATTATTGAATGTTATCTGAATGACACTGTACCACTACAAATATCCTCAATCGTTTTTTTACAGAACATTTACGTGCTGGGTCAGAGCCTGCAGAGGATGTCCTCCAGCCAGGGCCGAGTGCAGCGAAGGTGGAGGTCGTGGTACAAGTGAGGAGAGACACCAAGAAGGGAGAAATGCCACGGGTCCGAGAATGGGACCAAGGCAAAGGTAAGACAAAATCATTCGGCTCCGTACTTTGTCTGGTTTTTGTGGCCTTGTATATATGACAGTCTAAAGAGTTGTTGATGCTTGTGATGTTCATGTACTATTAGGCTGGATCACATAGTGGTGTGGTCACTTGACCTCTATAAAGGTCATTGCTTCAGGTCCGGCTCTGCCTTAAAATGAAGCTTTTACCTGATATAGGTGGCATCTGCTGCTGTCTGCAGAACATACAATTGGCATATTGAAATGGCTGTAACTCAATTCACACTTTTTAAAATGTACTTTGCTTTAGTACAAAAACAACTGCTTGCGTATGTTTTTGCAGCTATGGCGATGGTGTTTGTAGGTTGTACTTCTTGTTGAACGTGTCTGATATTTTGATCCACGTTGCTGGCAGCTTCATATCGTAACGAAGCAGCAGTCCCTGGAGAGCTCCCAGCACGATTAGCGAAACGTCACCCGTCACCAACAACACGCGTTAGTCCGGAAGCAAAAAAACATTGGAGAGCTTTTTTTCATGTTCCTATTTAATGAAATTAAGTTTTACTCTGTTGATTGTTGTGGTTTTATAACATTATCGGTGGTGAGATGTTAACTACCTCGTGGGTTCGATCCCGTCCCTGATGCCTGTATATTTGGAGTCTGCATACTCTCCCTGTGATCGTGTGGCTTTTTCTCCCGATCCTCTGCTTTTTTCTTCCACATTTAGAAACATCTGTTTAGAGTATTTGGCTGCTATCAATTTCACTCGATAAGCCACTAATCCTTGAGCTATCATTTGTGCCCAGGTCGCTTCTGACAAATAGCTACATAGCTCAGTGGGCCTTACCTGGTAAAATAATAAAAATGTGTATAGTTTAGCTTAATAATTTTCTCCTCCTCCGTGCAGACTTCATGTTGCAGGACTGGCAGAAGGGCCACGGGTCCCAGCAGCGTTTGCCACGCGATCGCCCAGCTGAGTTTGCCCCTCCCACGAATTACTTCAGTGGCAACAAAGCGGGGACCCTTCCCAGCAGCGAGAGGCTGCCCCCCCCCCGTGTGGCCACCCAGGGTCCACGGACATCCGACTCCTCTCAACACACGCCCGCACAACCACCCACCCAGTTGGATGAGATGCTTGCATTCTACAAGCAGTCGAATAAATAATGTACAGTGTACAGCATTCTTTTTATCGTATCATTCATTTGGTAAGCGAGCAATGTGTGTATGCAGTGAACGATGGATATGGTTACGGGGATCTATACAAAAAAAGGTGTGATAATTGGTTCTTTACCCTTCTATCTGACACCTTGCAAAAAGGTGTCAGTTTTGTTGCCAGATAGAAGGGTAAAGAACCAATTATCATATTTTTTACTGGCAAATGAGGTCCCCATAGTGTAAAAAAAGGTGTGTACAATAAAATATTTCCATTGCTAATTTATAAGAATCCTGTGATTGTCTTCATGGCTTATTTTGAAATGTTTTAAAGAAGACATTACAGATAACGTTAGTGTGATGCAGTCTTGTCTTGGTATGATTCTTCCCAGTTAAATGCATCCAAAACACAAGTGCTGTGGCAAATTTCACCTCCAATGTGCTTATCCGAAATGGTATTAAACTCCCCAAGATTATCCAAATTCTTAAATTGTCGACGCATCCCAACTCTGCAGGAGCTCTTAACTTCCACATGTGCAACAATCTCTACTAATATTTGCAAGTTTAGCGTCTCCTCTACAACCAAGAGCCTCATACCCGAGTCACCTCCGACTGCAATCATTTCCTGAGGCTTCGGCAAATATTTAACTACCAAATCTCACAGCAAGACTCGTCGCCCACACCCACAAATGAGACGACATCACCCTCTCGGATCTCTCCACTGGGTCCCGTTGAAGTGCCACAACAAGCTGAAGATCCAAAGACTTTAAAAATGACGGCCACCTCAGCACCTTGCCTCTTGGAAGGTGGGAAACCCCCATACAAGCTCCGCCCAGTGTGATGCGGCTGATGACATCACAAAGCAATCACCTGCCCATCGTCGCACGCGGGAATGAGAGGTGAAACATTTTTCAACTGCTGTCTTATGCAATTGGTTTACCAAACCGATAATCGGAAGCGTAACTTATTAATTAAATAATTGGCTAGCCCATCTCGAGAGAGTACCTAAAATATGCTGCGCTCAAGGCAAAATCGGAATGTGTAAAACGTCATAAGCTGAAACAACGTGACATTTACACGCAAGGGTAGTTGCTGGCCTATTTAAAAACTTAACACAATTCTACAAAATTGAAAAACAATTGTGGAGGATGTGAATGTTTAAGATGCGTATCTTAAAATTATAAAAAGTAAATAATGCAACAAAATACAATTCATAAGACTAGTTTAATGTCAACTACTTACTGCAAACTATACAATAAATATACAATCTTCAACATTCAAATGGTTAGTCTCCTCACACTAAGCAAAAGAAGTGTTGATAATATGTATTCCAAATCTCGCTTTCGATATCCTAAGCTTCGCGAACCTGACACCGGAATTGATACGATATCTCGATCACTACGATATCTCGATCACTACGATGAACAAACGTGCCAGTACTGATTTTTTTTTACCTACGTGACTTTACCGAAAAAACCAAAGAGTATGAATCCTTGTAGTCACGAAAACTTCAAATCTAGGAAAAAAAACGTGCCAGTATATTCCAGCTTCAGCAGTACCACACCAGTCTATTGTGGGAGAGTGATCCACACACATTTGACAACAGAGAAGAGTTTTCACTGGTAGTTACAGCCAGCATCATCAGGCAGTTGACAGGATTCTGCCCAGCAGTCGTAATAAATCAGTAAATTTGTTAACGCCACAAACTTTATCCATTGGCTGTGTCGGGTGGAGGAGGGTTTACGACAACATTTTACTTTCGCGATCAGACCCAAGCATCAATAGATATTGAATCGTAATTCTGGTAGCAAAAGCACAGCAAAGTGCCAAATCTCTCGAGCGTTCGTCCGACGCACACCGACCGCATCACCGGCGATGCTGAAACCGCCACGCGTAGAAGCCAAGTACGGGTTTCCCCTCGCTACGTGCGGGTTCGGTTTGTGCGATTTTGCATACACGCGGCTAAGCTATTTCTACCCAAAATTCGCTTCGTGCGGGTCAAATTCACTCGTATGCGGCTGTGCAGTCAGATGTGGGACACAACATTGTGCGTGTGTGTGTACTGTGTATGTACTGTGTGTGTACTGTGTGTGTACTGTGTGTACTGTGTGCGTACTGTGCGTACTGTGTGTGTGTGTGTACTGTGTGTATGTACTGTGTGTACTGTGTGTGTAGTGTGTGTACTGTGTACTGTACACGCTAATCGGCAGGCAGCGGTCTCCTCGTGCGGCGCATTGTGGTGACCGTGCGCTCCGTGGCTGCGCGATTTCGCTTCGTGTTTTTGGAATGCATCCATCACAGCAAGTGAGGGCAACCTGTAACGTAGACGTTGGCGACAATACTGACTGGTCACTTTTACGGAAGCAACTTCGGACCATGTTTTGTATTTGATTAAGCTTTTTGATTTTCCGTAAGTTAGAAATTAGTTTCTTCACAAACCGGTTCATCCAACAATAACATTCGTTTCACATTGATTATTAAAAAAACGTTATGCGCTAATATACCCAACACGGCCGCGCACTAAAATGTACTCAATATCCGCATGCTGATGAGTGACGCACTGAAATGGTAAAATAAAAACTTAAGCATTAAAATGAAGAGCGTATCACTTAATTCATAACGTTCCCATTTAAAAAAAAAATTTTGCTTTTGGCATAACACGTTTGACTCTAATATTTTAACAATATATGTACAAAAACTTGTATACGAATTGGCAATAATCGGCATGTAGGTTCTGATGGATCACTGTAACGCAGGCACCGGCTTGGCGAGGCCTTCCTCCAGCAGTGGACTGATCATGGCTGATGATGAATCGATATTCCTGTATAACAATGAACAATAAATGGAATGAGTCATGGTGGCACCACCACAAGTCCCTTCAGCTAAAAACCCGAGTTCACATCTCCTCCTTAGCCGTGAATCACTGTCACACATGGTGGCCCAACACAATAGCTCTGCTACCCTGAAAAAACTTCGACTCAGGTGGCTAGGAAAAGTGACAAGAAGAGAGGAAACCACTTGGGAATTCAGATGAAAGTGCCTGAGCAGAGGTCGAGAGGCAGGCCCAGAGAACGGTGGCTGGAAGTGATGAGAGATGCTTCAGATGTTGACTCAGGACAGGGATGGGTGGAGAATATGGCCAAGCCCACACGAGCGGTAACAATGCCAGGAAGAAGATGGAATGGTCGAACAACAATTTTACGTGACACCGCAGGGTCCTCCCTAACACAACAATGAGACCAATTCAGTTGGAGCATTTACACATCCGAGCCCAACGCCCCGGAGGAAATGAAGGTAACTACGCTGTCGTGTCGTGCTGTGGCGATGCACCGCATTCTCGGCTGTTTGATTCCGCCGTGCTGTGTACAACATCTGCTTGCGACTATGAAGAGTGATTTTCTTCAGCTGCGGCTTGATCTTGATCTAAAAAAAAACAAATATTTGTATAAATTAAAGTATTCATGTTGATGCAATGAGTTCGAACAACAAATGATGAATGTTATTTCATCCACTTGTACATCTCTTTTGGTCTATCAACTGCTGGACGAAAGCCTCCGCAAGCGTGAGGGTTTTGTTTTTTAACCATATTTCTCCCACGCCGATCGGGGCGGCAGAGTGGAAGGCGGGCAGCATGCCCGTGGGAGCATGCACGTCGAGCAGGGCAATGTGTGGTTCTGCACTGCCACCTGCTGCCCACAACGTAGCCCCGCAGCAAGTTCAAGTTCATTTATTTGGCATAGCTCTGTGAACCATTCAGCTCTTGAATCGGGTGCAACCGCAACAAACAAAAAAACTAAAACATGAACAAGAAAACATCTTAAAGTGACGATGTGCAAACAGAAAATCCAAGAAAAGACAACAAAATATTGCAGAAAAAGCACCGTACACCAACACTGTGTGCAAAAATCCCAGTGGGATGCAAGTCAAACAACAACCACAAGACAACTTAGATTAAGGCCAAACCGAAAAACTTTTCGAAAATCATCAAGATAAAGCCGTAAAAGCAATGAAACAGTGATCATTGATCATAGGAACTGTGACCGAATTTTCACAATAAACGACGTAAACAACATCTATTACCAAACTCTGCAGCCAACGCTGGCTGCATGAGTCACGGCAGCCTATAGCACCTGTTTATGGTCAGCAGCCACCCATTCAAACACTGTCCGGGCTCAAAACGTGCTTTGCTTCTGAGGTCTGACAAGATTCCAAAGCAATCCGAGTGATATGGCCATAATATTTTGCTCAAAAATCTGTTAAAAATCAACACACAAAAGGCTTAATTGGTAAACGTTACATATATATTTTTCCACCAAACTATTTCCTCAGAAGTCATCGGGGGCAGAATACATTTTCCATAAATAAATGTCCTTGGCTATTCATAATAAAGGTTTATAAAGAACACTGTCTCAAAAACACTGAAAAAAAAAAGAATTAAGAAATCTTACCGACGTCACTCGCCAAACATTTGAATACGTGTGACTCATCCTAAAATACTTGTTTTACATTTACAAAGCTTAAGCTAATGCCAGACAGCCGAACACGTGAAACCTCGATATCCATATTCGTTCAAGCGACGGCTGGAGGAGTCCACGTGATCGTCTTATTTGCTGCAGCAGAGGGACGGTTAAAGCGCCTGAGACTAAAGCCGCTGACCTGACGCTCCTCGCCTTCCACGCCGTTACCTGCATCCAGAGAGACCAGCTCCGCTGTGTCGATACGTCCCTCCATGTACAGCTGGATTTTGCTCATCATCCTCACCTTGGCAGGATGCGTATGCATTTCTGTAAGTAAATATAATTTTGTAAAAATCGGGTGGTTTTGTCAGGCATCACATCGCATTGGGTTTGTCCCGTCATGCTTATTTCTCCAGAGCACAGCAATTAAGGGCCACCGCCCAACACACACACACAGCTATTTATTTATTTATATCACGTAGGCGTTTGGCGGTTGCGCCGTTGTAGCTCTCCGATGTGTTTTCGGGTCGTACTGAACGTTGTTAGGCGTGGTGTCAGACGTTTCGCTCCACGTGCTGTTCCAGGAAGCTCCCAGCACATGCGGTGAAATTTGAAGACTTTGTGCCAAACAACCCGCGGTACAACCAGGAAACGTGTTCGAGGTGTCTCTATGGGACCTTTTTTATTACCAGTATCCACAACGATGAAAAATAAGAATAGGTTTTACTCTTTCTGGTAATAAAACAGGAGGTGGTAAGATGTTTAAACACCAAACAGATACCTTTTTCAAGGCATCAAGTCTGCAAAGATGAACACTGGTGAGACTAGGCTAATCAGTTTCAAAGACAATGCATACATTATCAGAGCATGTTTGTTTGCATGTTTTGCCACAAGTACGTGCGGTTAATGCAGACTTGATGCCTGGCGATGATGACAGTGACGGGGTTTTTGCTCTCTGCCCCGGTCACCGACAGCCAACGCACTCCGTTTGACTTAATCGTTGGTTTTAGGATGAACCTTTTTTTTTTATATCAGAAAAGGGATGTTATTTTGAGACTAAAAGCATTACTCGGTCCACATCTCCTACCCCTAAGTGATGGCTACACATTCTGGACAATCGCATCTCAACCTTAATTTTTGTTTGTACTTACCTTTAGAAATGTGCTGCGGATCAGGAGGCCTCCGTTGACCCACACGCTCCAGCCTGCTCGCCGACACTCCCTGCCCCTGAAATTACTTGGACCTTGCTGAGAGGTCGCCCCAGCGGCAGCCGCCGGCTTTGTAGAATCCTCGCAGGAACCGCCCTCGTCGGCGCCACCACCCGGGGGACGTTCCCGTGTGAATCTCTTCTCGGGGACCGTGCACGAATCGGCTCCGACTACCTCCCGCTCGAAGTCCGCGAGGGCGTCCCGTCCGGTGGACGGCGGCGGCGGCGGCATCTTCCCTTGCGCAAGAGAGGGAGAGCCTGCTCAGGGCCTCGCTTGCCGTGCCAGCGCCGTGGTCTGCCCGAGGTACGCGACTGCTCACGGCTTCGGCGTCAGCACGGTCGATCGGCTCCGCCGAGCGCCGTCCGTCAGACTTGTCTTCGCCACAAGCCGCCTGGAAATCCAGCTGCATCGCAGGATCCAGAGACTCGACGGGAGCTCGGCCATATTTTGCTTCGATCAAATCAAATGTCCACGAGTCGGTGTTAGCTTTGAACGGCGCTTCGAGGCTTTGCAAAAGCAGTGAAGAAGTGGTGCCCTCGTGTGGAAACACTTCGAAGACGTCAGCTTTAGATACGCCGCCGTAGGCTTTCTTTGTTCCGTCCTCTGTGTCGAAGGCTCCTGGCATCGACAGGTTTGCAGCTGGCAACGTCGCTATTTGCTACAGCTGCACCGCCTGCTTTGAGGCTGCAAGGGCCTGCAGCTGGTTCTGCGCGCGGCAGCTCGGCCGAATGAACGTCCGTCATCTCTGCCGGTCTACGGCGTTGCGGTCTGTGCTGCTGAGGAGCATTTGCAAAGCTTCCTTCAAACGTGGAACCGGCAAGCACGTGTTGATCATCTGTGAAGTGTCCTTTGTGAAGGATTTCGAGTCTTCGTAGACCTGAATGAAAATAGACAAAACACGAGGATTTCACCAGCTTTACGTTTTAACGAACTCAGTTCTGTGTTTGTAGTCGACATTTAAAACATACGTGGTGCAAGGCTCCCTTATAGTCGAGGGCCTTCTTCCAGCGGTGGCGTAAACTGGCAATGGCAGGTCTGCACCCTTACTTACCACGTGTGCATTATGTTGTGTCCACATCAGAAATGATAATAAAACCCATTTCCACAACTAAATAGTCGTCTCTCCAATGTATAACTACAAAGGCCTCCCTTACCAAGAGAGATGTACAAATTAAACGAGAATACTCTTACTTTCAAGACATAATTCGAGAAATGTGCTGTAATAATGAATAACCTCCTGCAGCAGATTATAAAATGCTGTTCCTTTTCCATTCAACTAATAGAGGAAATAAAATATGGATCGGTGACACGTAGGGAGCGGCGAGCTGCAGGAAAGTGATGGTGAGGAGATCATTTGAGCAAAGAGCGAGAGGAAGGAAAAGGAACGGTGACGCTGGGTGGTGTCGAACAGCGGAAGTCAGCGAGACAACGAGGAGAGACTTCGTGCCTCGGACCGGTCTCTGCACACAACGACAGAATGGTCCTGCCCCACCATATCTCAGCCACTCTTGTGTATTTCTCCGTGTCGCCTTCTCGCCCTCTACGTTCTCAATCTCTGCTCTCTCTCTGTCACTCCTTCAGCGGGTGCTCAATCCGCACTTTCGCTCTTCCTCTCTTCTCGCCCCCCTTCACTGGAACAAACTTCTCCCTTTCGATTTAAAGCTTTCGTGACTGCAGGGATTAATCTTCTTGGTTCTTTCGGTAAAGTCACGTATTTTTATTATTTTATTATTTTCCTTCTACGTGACTTTACCGAAGGAACCAAGAAGATGAAACTTCTCCCTCCACATCCAGCGGTCACCTACGCTCACTAGTTTCCGCTCTTCACTCAAACCTCACTTATCTTCCCGGGCTCACCCCACGACCCCCTTAATCTCCCCCCCGTAACCACCACCGTTACTGTTCCCTCTTCATATTCTCGTGATATGGCGATCACTCATTCCCCGTTCATTCATTCCATTCATCATCATTTACTCTCATCAATTTCACTTCCACCAAATTCACGCACCACAGATTCGCACTATTGCTTCCTCTCATCTATTCCATTCACCTCATCTCCACCATTACATTCACATGTAGTACCGTTGTTTATTCTTTGTAAAGTGCCTTGGTTAAGGCGCTATATACATTCTGTTGAATACGTGATTATGTAGTATTCTAATTAAGTGCAAAGCAAAAAAAACAACAACAACGCACAGGCAGATGCCACCGATGTTGTCGCCGTTGTTACCTCTCTTATGTGAGGCCGCGACTTGCGTGGCCCGATGCACCGCAGGGCGAGCGCGAGCAGGGCGGACGACACGGACGCCGGCCAGGCACCCGCAGTCTTGTCTACAAGCTGCTCTGGCGGCAGCGAGGGATCGCTGTCCAGGACCAAGTCCTTCTGCGCTCCACAAACAAACGGCGTTCAATAAATACCATCACAGACAAAGATCCCCCGTATAGCATTAACAGTGTGTTGGGGCAAGTGCTGTTAGCGAATAGCACCGATGAAGACCGGCACTGTGGCACACGATGGGGCGGGTGGCCAGCACCACGCCCGGCAACTTTTGTCTCCCCAGTGGCGAAGTTTACACATCGCTCCAGGTACTCATTTGAGGCTGAATTGATCTGGGGGAAGCCCCGGACCGGTTCAAATATTTGCCACCGATATTGGTCGTGAGCAGGTATTGAACTCGGCTCGCTGGGTTCTAAGCGCAGTGCGCTAACCATTGCGCCACCGCTCCCCACACACACACACAGGGTGGGTGATACAAACAAGTCGAGTTCATTAAACAAACAGACGGTTTGGTATCATCCATACTGCGTTCAACCACCACACACCGCAGGTCACAACACCTGTTGGATTCTTCCCTTGCACTGCTCCACTTTAGAGTTCCATCCCAAGTTGCAATAACAGGCTTTGCTCAATTCAAGAAAAGTGTAAACTTTTATCTAACACAACCGCGATCGCGATGGTGATGTTGTGTTTTGCTGCCACTTAACATTTCGGGTCATTGGGGGCCTGTGTTCAGCAACTGTGCTTAGAGAAAAAGGCTTCACAGCGATGGGAAATCAATAAATCACGGCCCTCTATTAACTCACCGTAGGATTAAGGCCTCCCCAGGCCAGTGCGAGTGAATTGTGTTTGTCCGATTGCTCAAAATATAATTCACAAAGGAGATGGAAACTGTCGAGGAGGGAAAGGTTTACCAGTAATCGGGGCTTCCGGCTGGCATCGTAGGCCTTGAGCCCACTCAGAAGCTCGAGCAGAACCTTGGGATTGGGAGGAACAAGAGGAGCGTGCGTTGTGAGCGACAGACATTGCAGCGTTGTTAAGGACAGCCAAGATGCCGCGACCATGCTCGGCAGTGGCAACATACAACACCGTCATTCCACCGCTGGATCAAGGCCTCCCCAACTGGCCTGTCAGCCAAGGGGGTTGTTTGATCATACTACACCATGCTGGTCTGTGCTCGTCAGCGAATGTGGAGCTAGGATCGGCTCAGATTTCACTTGCCACTGATGTTACACGTGGCCTGGGATCAAACTCGTGTGCACAAGGTTGATAGTGCAGTGGCCTGACTGCTGTGCAAGTGCTCCACCCTCTCAGACATTGCAAACCTGGACCTATTCTTGCAACCGATATGCTTCATTTTCATTTAGTATTTATTTTATACGCTTTACGCCGTCTAGTTTGTCCCAGGCTTCCGTTGAAAATCAGACCGTAGGCCTCAAATAGCCTGTCAGCTGTGGGGATCTGTGAGTGTTATCTCCGCTTAGGCATGGGTTGTCTCTGGGTTATCTCCAGGTTATCTCTGGGTACTCAAGTTTTTGTCCCCCACAAACAAAACAATTATTTTAATGGGATTCACCTATGACCCTATTGCAGAAGCCTCCTGGAAAAAAAAAAAGATACCTGATACTCTCTTTAAACTATTTTTATTGTACCAGGTAAGGCCCACTGAGCCAGAGAAGTGACCTGGCCACAAATGACAGCACAACGAGAGGTGGCTTATCATGTGGACATTTTACAGCAGAAAAACAAGAGGTCCCGAACAAAAGTCCACGCGACCACGGGGACAGAGACACGCAAACTCCAAATATACAGCAGGCATCAGGGTCGGGATCGAACCCACAACTTCCTGCATACCAGGCGAGGTAGTTAACATCTCCTAGCCACCGTGGCGCAGTGAAGCTTTCCCAAATAAACAGGCGGGGACATCGTCCCTAAAAAGCACGCGCGACTCACAATGCCGCAGCTGTAAACGTCCAGGCTGGCGGAGAGCTGTCCATCCTTCAAGAACTCGTCAGGGAGGTACGCCAGCTGGCTGCCGAGCAGGCTCGTGCGCATCGTGACGGTGACGCTGTGGTCGCGAGCGAGCCCCAGGGACGGGCGCAGGCTCGCGAACCCAAAGCCCCCCAGCTTCGGCTCAAAGCCCTCGGTCAGCAGCACCTTCGAGCTGTGCGGTGAGGGGGGCGGCAGTTTGTTCATCAGCAGCACAAACAAACATCAACAAATCAAATCCACGCTGCAGTTGTGGCGCTCGCACGATGCCGCAGTCGCGAGAGGCGTCGAGGGAAGGGACAACAACAGTGGGCGGCAGCGAGGCGCGATGGCAACGCTCGTGCCACACGGCAAGAAACATCTGGGTTCGACTCCTGACTCGGGTGCCTTTAGTATGTGCGCCCCCTGTTCTGTCATGGTTCCATCTGGGTTTCTCCACTACCTTCTCACGGTTAGAATAATATAAAATGGTGGCTAAACATCCCACCAATGTATAGACCTTCCCAAAACAGTCAAAAGACTGGTCGAAGCTTTCCTGATAAAAAAATAAACAATTCATAAAACCAAAACAGAGGTCTGTGTTCACATTATAGATTAAATTTCACCGTTGCTGACATTGTTAATGTTACTTTAACGTAGACTAAAGAAACTATCACTTGCATATCAGAACAAGTAACAATATCATATACACACATACAGAATATACGGCAGTATTTTTTTTTTTGGAAATAAGCGATTGAATGGAATTTACTCATCTACAGCCCTTTTTGTCGATAGAATTCTGCACGAGGCCCTCCCCACCGCGGGTACATTGTCACGTGTTTGGCAAGTCGGTGACCAAAACACCGGCACACAACCACCACAGGGGGGGAGCGTCGGCGTCTGCCGCGGCGTTAATGAACCAGGGGCGGCCGCGAGTGGGAAACGCGCCGCCGTGCGGCCGTGCCCACGTAAGCCCGCCAACCCCCGTTTGGTGCCTCCTCCCTCCACACGTGCAGCTCTGTGGTCCGCGGCGCCGCGACATGCGACGTGCGGGCGAGCGGCCGGGTGTGGGGAGGCCGACCTGCGGACGTTCCCGTGGACGACGGGGGCCGCTTGCGACGTGTGCATGAAGAGGACGGCGCGCGCCAGGCCCGCGGCGATGGCGACGCGCCGTCGCCACGGCAGCGGCGCCGTGCCGCCCTGCGGGACAAAACGACCAAACGTCGACGGGAGGCCTCGGGTCCATTCGTACTTTCGGGGAGACGTTGAAGATTTTGCGAGGCAAGTTGCGCTCGGGCAGATTTATTTTGAGAATGGTTATCCGGCGTGCATGAGTTGAGACGTTGACTTGGCAACGTAGATAGGTATGAGGTTTTATAGTAGCTTGAATACGTGACCTGAGTAGCCAAAGCTTTTTAGCAGGTAGATTTTTTGCAAACAATATATTCGTTCGTAAATGATTTTTGCGTTCGGTCACGACAATTTGACCAAATTTGTGTCGTTAATACCTCCCCCACCACCCGATACAGCAAAACAAATGAAATCGTCATGTGTGCAAGCGTTTCACGCACCAATTATCACGGTTTCAGCTCACACACGTGAGTTGACATAACAATCCTCACCGCCAAATTTAGCAAATAGATTCGACGTTTCTATTCACACTGCGTCATTAAACATCAAAATAAATTAAACTTAAAAAAACATCAAATCTTACACATGTGCGGTTGGATCAATGTGGAATGAGCCTAAGGACTGATATTAATCGATGTATAGGGAAATCATCCACCACTAATTAACATGGTACGTGGAATGCTGGGCAGGGTTGTAGCTACACTAAATACAGGGTGTCCATCAAGCTATCATCCATTATTAAGGCATCATCACGAGCCAACATTGTGGCCGCTTGGTTGAATATTGGGGTTATGATGCGAGAAATGAATCCATTAAAAAAACCTAAATATCTTGAGTGATCTTCAACAACACATGAGAGAAACATCGTAAATTGTGACCCGAGATATTTGGTGGACGCTTGGCTCTCTTAAATGTGAATGCGACGCTGTCGCCAACAACGCAATAGCAAACATGCGGAGGTCTGGTGATGACACCCGTAAGGTAACATTTTCACACTACCAAGTGTGCGTGGGGTTTTACATGTCAATCGACCGCGCGCAAACTGCCGGTCCCAATTATAAACCGAGAACAATGGATGACACCTTTGTGGACGATGCCCCGCTGGGTGAAATTGCCACGTGGGGAAGGGGGGGGGCTTTGCGCACGTACACGATACTGAGCGTGCAAGCGTGCGATTGCAGAGGCCGCGTGAGCATGCACGTGCGACATTCGCTGCGAAGAGCGTGCGCCTACACGGGGCTCACACAGCGCTGTTCATCGTTACGCAGCTCGCAGCAGATGATTCGCAAAGCGCCTTACCCACAAGCGTCAGGACCTCCTCTAGCCTGTAAATATTTTCACAGCACAAAAAAATAAGTTCAGGGGGCTCACTCTATACTGCGCATGTAGCCACGAAATACACGTTGATAATTCCAAGCTTGAAACGTAGTGTCGCACAGTATCCGCCCCACTCCTCGGAGAGACGGAACAACTCGGGGGCAAGTGGAGGAACCACAGACAATAAGGAAAGCAGCAACCAGCCGGTGTGTTAGCGCCAATAATTGCCCAAGCTCTGCGGTCCTCTATATACTAAAATGTTTACGGCCAATTAATGAGTGTTGAAAACGTGTGAGGAAACCATAGCGCCTGCCTTGCAACTCAGGAGGGCTTCAACAATGGCTCACCTATACTACCCCCAACTTGAGACTTCATGTCAGAGTCGAGGTGAGACAATTGTCTAATTTAAACCCACATCCCACGATGGAAACATCTTTCACGTGGCTGCTGGAATATAAATGACAAAATCAGTTACCCGGCTTGCCCTTCGGATTCCACATTCTACAACAGCCTGACAAACTGAACATTTAACTTGGCAAAGCACCTTTTTCCGACACGTGTGGCCATCGTAGAAGAGTAGGCCCAAATACCTGCACCGCTACCACCTTCACCTTTAGTGGGGTTTGGGAAAAGATATTACGAAAGGCCAACGCATGTTACATTCGGCAATTAAAACTACGGGCATGGATCTGTAGCCTGACTCACCACACACTGGAGCCGGTCAGACAGGGATCCGTTTGCCGCCAGCTCGTAGATTAGGCAGCACTGCTCACCCTTCTGGCTGTAGCCGGCCAACACGATGATATTTGGGTGTTTCAACCTGCAGCCACACGGGGAACAAACCCATTTGTGAATCAATGCCGTGGCGTCTCAGAGCCCTTTGCGCACAATAAGCGACTTGCATCACATGGCGAGCATCTATCCCTGTGGGCACAAGGTGACCTCGTACCTGGCCTGCAATCAGGAATTAATCTGCCAGTAGGGGGGGGGGGAAATGCTGTGTGTCATCCAAATTATGCAATGTTGGTAATTTTTAGAATTTGGCAAATTTGGAACAAAGACACCGGCACACAATCGCCCACTCGTTTTCCAATGACGTCAGAGGGGATTTCGTTTAACGCCCGTTGTGGAAGCAGATGGCGCTTAGTATTCTGTGATTATTACAAATATATGATAACCAGGGCGGCCGCTGGGGTTCTAACCGTGAACCTCTGCCAACCATTCATTCATTCAATTTATTTTTTGAGTAAGAACTGGCCCCCACTAAAGAGGGCATGGCAATACTTTACAGTATAAATTATACGAAGGTAGTCCCTACCTATAAAATCAAGAAACATAAAAAATACCAAAATGAGGGAACATACACAGGGAAAAGCTAAACGGAAAAAAATTGTCTTGCAGATTTTCCTGCACTGTTTGGTGCTCGGAGCCAATCAGAGTGCCGGCGGCGAATGCACGAACCACTGGGCCATACCACCGACAGCAGCGGCACGAGCGAAGCAACAAGTTGCAGGGATTGCACCTTGAGCTCTTTCAGCTGCGAACTGAGAGATTCGCAGTGACGGAGACGTATTTCACACGCCCGCCGTTTCAGAGCGGCAGGCCTCGAGAAGCGGAGGTACGGGGGCGGTATCTTCCCCACCCCCAGTGTGAGGTGTCGGGATGAGAGCACAAAAGAATGCTCTCAAGATGGATGTGTCATCGTGGTCGAAGGCGTTGCTGCCACCACACCTCGCCAAAGCCCTCTACCCTCCTCCGTCAGATCCCATGGTTGTTACACCATAGACACGTGACCCCCCCCCCCACCCCCATCTGGTTACACTGTCCGAAAAAATTAAGCTTTATTCAAAATAAATTTCTGCTTAATCTCTCATGTCAATGTGTCGTGGTACATGCTTTGATAGTCGACATGATATTGTTGACATTTGTTTTTGCGAACTTACTGGGAAAGGTTTCTGGCTTCTGACTCAACAACTTTCCAAACGGCCTCCTCTTTAAATCCACCCATCTGCGACAGACAACAACACAATCCTCAGCACGCAACGCACATTTCTTTTTATGAACGCATCGTGTTTAAAGCCATCGGAACAAAAGAAATACACTCGAACTGTACGCATTTTAGTAATACAAACACGGTGTTAAGTACAACATTGTCCATCAAAATTTCACTGGCAAAATAAGGGGCAGTGGAATGCACGCCCAGTCCAAACAATCTTCACGCAGAACACGAAATGGGGTAGACCTTCATGCAGCAGTGGATTTATAAACGGCTGCAAATCGTTTCTTTTTATATATTACAATTATTAAGTAATACAAACGACACATTTTTGGGGGAAAATGTAATTTTACAGCCTTAGCATCATATGTAGCGATGTACAATGACAGATCCCCTGTATAACCTAAAAAGATGGTTGGGGAAAGTACTGTTAGTGAGCGCCTATAAGGGCCGGCATGGCACCCGAGGGGGTAGGTGGCCAGCACCACGCCCGGCCACCTCAATCTCTCTAGTGGCGACGTTTACACACCGCACCAGATACCCATTGAAGGCCGAGTCGACCGAGGGAGACCCAAGATCGGTTCAGATAATTTTCACGGGTATTGGCCGTGAGCAGGAATCGAACTCTGGTCGCCAGGGTTCGGAATGCAGCGCGCTTAACCATTACGATGCCGCCGCCCATACATGCGTACGCACGTCAATGTACGTGCATTAAGAATCCACTTGTTAGAAAGAGCACGAAGATGCACTCGCATCGCAGGTCAAGGCGAGGCCAACGAGCTTGCGCACCACAACACCCCACCTGCGCCGTGTTTGCACTCAAAGAAAGCAGAGACGCTGTGTGAACACGGCTGGCGGTGCCCTCCTACAGTTCCCGTAGCACCTGTCTCAGCAGCTTGGCAGCGTAGTCGGTTCGGCAGATGCAGGCCCCGTACACGGTGCCCAGACTGCCCTCGCCTAGCTTGCGGCCTTCGCTGAAGTTCTGAGTGCCAGAGCAGACCAGGTCGTGCGAAAACCGTAGCCGGGATTCTGGCTCTGCCTGTAGAGACGCTGGACACGATGGGACGCTGTTAGTGACACCGGACACTAACGTGTATATATATATTTAGCTTTTACATAGCAGCGTTGTTAATGCTATTGTATCTCATATAGTATCAGTGAATGTTTTGTATACATGTTCAACACGAGTAATTGTGGTTAATGCAGACTTGGTTCCTCGCAAAAGGTTTCTACTTGGTGTTTGAACATCTTAACACCTCCTGTTTTATTGGCACCTATTTTTATTTTTCATTCTTTTATACTGGTAAAAAAGGTCCCATAATGTAGCTGCTCACCCCGGGCTACAAATGCTCTGATGGTGGCATTGTCTTTGTACTGCTCGTCTTTGTGAGTTGTTCTCTGGTCTGACGCGAGTGAAACTAGGACATAAAGAAGGCTGTCGCTGGTGTAGGCCAATCAGTTTCAAAGACAATGCCGATAGAATCAGAACATGTTTTGATTGCATGTTCACCACAAATAATTGTGGTTAATGCAGACTTGGTTCCTTGCAAAAGGGATCGATTTGGTGTTTGAACATCTTAACACCTCTCTTGTTTTTATTGCCAGAAAGGGTAAAACCAAATCTTATGTTTCAATCTTTGCGACTGCCAGAAGAGGTCCCATGCACGATGCATCTCACAACGCTGCGCAATCGGCAACGCACGCAAGGCGTGTTCCACGTGGAGAAGTGTTCATTCAACTACTGAGTGTCTATGCACGTGGGGAGGAAGCTGGAGCACCTGGAGAAAACCCACACGTGCAAGGGGTAAACACTCTATTCCGTACACATGGGACGGATGGTGATTAGTCCACGCTTGCTGTACCGCTTTTTCCTAGCAAGCGAGTACATTTATTTAGTTATCACATAGGCTTTTGCAACCAATATCAGGTTTTTTTGGGTTAGATCTCGATCTAACCCAAAAAAAACTGTATTATGGACGTTTATTTATTGTTGGAATGTGGCGTGCGTCAGAAAACTGTGGAATGCACGCATCGCTGAATTTTGGGTTCAAAATGTAGTTGATGACACTTGTTGGGGTTGTATCCCGTGAAAACGACACCGTGTACATTACTGGAGTTGAGGCATAATGTTGTCAGGAGGGCGATTGTCTGCAGAGGGTGGTGATGGAGGGGACACTGGAGATGGAGCTAGGGGGATGAGGAAGAGCAGAATCGCTCTGAACATCACGCATCAAACACGGGACGGGATGGAAGCTCTCTCAGTTGAACAACGGAGTGGTGGACAGAGAGAGACGTGGAGAGAGCGAGGTAACGGTTGGGCCCCAGTAGGCCCAAAGGCCAAGGAGGCATGGACAAGAAATGCGAATGATGTCAGTTGAGTAGTGCGAGGTAATTTCTCTGCCATAATTGTGCCGCACAAGGAACACCATAGACACTTACCGGAAAATTTTGAAGAGGGAGGTTGAGAAAGATTGTTGATGGTCCCCTTCTCTTTTGGATTCCCCTGGGGGAATGAACATTCAAAAACATTAATACGTAAAAAAAAAATTTACCCTCTCGCAGAGAAATTACAACCGCGGGCGGCCGCTCTCCGGATCACGGTGACGGCATGTGAAGAAGACGCGCAGGTTAGCTCGACGCCGAATTATCGTCGACTCTGAGTGTACACTCATCTGTTGCATCCGCAGAAGCGAGGACACGGTGCACTTCCTGTATCGTTACGAACCAGTGCTGCTGAAACTCAAGCCTCACGACCGCACGGGTGCAGCTTCCCCAATTACAGCCCATAAGGTGCACGCGACGCGCACATGCTTTATTTAAGTATGCATGGAAAAAGATCACCAAATTATTACGGCTGTAACAATTTGACTACCATGGATTCAAATAATTGTCACGATGATGCACTTAGATGAATGGGAGAGTCGCACGTAGCCAACCGTGCCCATCGGAGGTGCGAGAGAAAGACGGCCAGTGCAGGACAACCATTCAACCTGTGAACGCTGACCTGGGGCGCAACGGACAGAGGCGATGGTGTTGCCGACGTATGGTTTGCACACTTGATGGAGTCGCTTGGCTGGAGCAGATGCTGCTTGTAGCAGTTCAGGGAACAGAAACTGTGGCTGGGTGGATGTGGGGGAAGTAACAGGACTCCAGGTTTATCCATCTCAACACCTCGATCTGAGCGGAGACACAAAAGAGAAAAGGAGACAAATTATCATGGCGGTGACGGTGGACAAGTGGCAGCGTGTTTGCAATTTAAACTAAACGAAACCATTTTTATTTTACCAGGTAAGGCCCACTGAGCTGTATAGCTCTTTTTCAAAAGCGACCTGGCCACAAATGATAGCTCAACGAAGCCGCTCACGTGGGAATTTATAGCCAGCCAAATGCTCCGAACACGTGTTGTTGATTATTCTAAACGTGGAGGGAAAACCAGAGGGAGGACCTGCAGAAAAATACACACAACAACGGGGAGAGAGACATGCAAACTCCAAATATACAGCAGCGACCAGGGTCGGGATCGAACCCACGACCCTCCTGTCTAGCAGGCGAGGTAGTTAACATCTCCTAGCCACCGTGGCGCCCCCAACGTTGCACAGCATCGCAGTTCGAGGACAGCGGCCAACCTGGTTAATACTGCGGGTGCACCAACTGTGAACACGCGCCATCCGCTCCATAGGCGGCGTGTTTGCAGTAGGTGCTGCGATGTTATTCTAAAAAAACTAGGCCGTGTGTACCCGCGCCACGGTCCAAATTATATAAATCATTCGCATATGACCTAATTGGGGAGATAAAGAAAACCCACATAACAACATCGCCCCCCGGCACGACACCACCTATGCTGACGTTTGATCGATGTAGCCTAAAGTTTATTCTGGTTTTATTATACATGCTTAACATTCCCTTAAAATTTAAAAGCCAAATATGCCTGGTTACACAAGTGACATTGCTATTGTTGTTCAGGAAAATACAAGTATCATTCCAAAGTAGTTTCAGATCATTATATGAAGTAGCATTTCAAAAACACTTTTAATGCCAAATATATATCAGAAATGACACATCGGCAATGAAGACAACAGCACCCCCATGTTGCTGTTGGCTGATCCTATTATCCACCTATCTTCCTCATCTCAAAACGTGCAAATAAGCGTACACACATGTGGAAAATCGGTCGAATTTGCTGCCAATTATTGTTACACATCTCAGCGGTAGGCAATCGATTCAGGTGCGAATATATTATGGAGAGGCTAATAGGAGGGGCAGATAAGAGCTGTGTTTTAACTGCATCTGTGCACACTGGATACTGAATTAGGATCTGGTCGTGATCACTCAGTCATCCAGTTGCGATGTACATCCCTTTGCCAATCGACAATTTGTGGATGAAAGCTTCCCCACGCCATGTCGACTGTGCGGGTTATGTAACGCGGCACAACGACACTGCAGACAGTGCACGTGTGTGAAGAAGGCGCTGGTTCAAATATCACCGTTCAAGTGATGTTAGTCACGGCTAGGAATCAAAATCAGGCGGCCGTGTTTACAGTGCAGTGAGCTAAGCTCCGATGTGATCGCTCCCTCTGTTAACCCTCAACGGGTTGGCAGGTTACAACCGGTTGACCAAAATGAAAAGGGCTGTGCACACACCGATGGCAAATGTTCACACTCTTCCACTTCATGTGCAAGTTAATCTGAAACGAAGCCCATTTACATTATATGCAATTACAGTTAACGTGCTTACTTGACGATATATTTGCAATGCTTCATCATGTGAACGCATGTATATTATTACATACAGCATCTTGAGGTGTGTTTGCACTTACAGTATATGCTCCGTATACCCAAATTGCATTGTAATTGTATTGCACTGCTGATTGCTATCTGATTTTGCACGATTTTGGAGAGTAAAAAAAAAAGATTACGTTTCATGCTATTAAATTGGCCACCTGAAAATTCACCAATGTTCCTGGCTCTGTAAAAGCGCTGATGAATAAAACTTGCATATTTCAAAAGACCATTATCACCGAACACCAGTGCCCTATTAATAATCACCATTATAATAATTACTTGCTTATGACTGGAAGAAGGACACAACACTTGAATGTGTGGTATTATGTTTAAATATATTATGACATATTGTTGATCCTCTGACCAAATTAACAGGAATGTGTCCAACCTTGACAGATCTGGCAAGCTAAGCAGAATTGAGGCCTGGATAGTGCCTGGGTGGGTAACCATCATGTACACAAACAGGTTGTCATGGGGGAGCACCGGGGTGCATTGTGGGCCATGTGGTGGACAGCAATGTTCGAACAAAAATCCACCGTTGTATTACACTTATAAGTTCCCGTGACTGTGCACCACGTCTTCGCCAACCCCGCACGGACCGGCGTGGCTAAAGCATGGTGACGTCACCCCCACACGAGCAGCACACTGCAAGGGGGCGAGGGCCTCAATCCAGCAGTGGGCGTGAGGCGGTGGTGAACGCGGGAAGCAAAAGGGCACCTGGTGTGGGTGGCACGGCTTCTCGCGCCAAGTCTGGCGAAGCCGGTACGGAGTGGTGGTGGTGGTGGTCAGGAGGAGGGGGAGGAGGAGGAGAGGCACCAGGGAAGCTGTGTCGTGGATGTGCACTGGGGGAGCCGGTCACTGCAAGCAAACGCAGCCGCAACAAAAGAAAACAGGCGCCAAGCAAAATTTGGCTTCTAAGGATTGTTCTTCGTGTTACCGGTGAGCCGAAAGAATAAATTAAGTGTCGAGTTAATAAACACTTGCACGCATGACATATTGCATTTGTTTGGCTGTGTTGGGTAGGGGGCCCTTATTGACGCCCACTCGTTCACATGGCCTCACCGAAACTCACAACTGGGGTGTGTCCTTTACACGTCAAATCACTGTGAGGTTGGTGACAATTGTCATTTTCATTAATGGCCTAAATATGCCATTATCTCTTGATGCTCGACACAACAGGTGGGACAAGTTTATCGGGATGGGGTGGGGTCTAAAAGATTGAGTGGAAGTTATATATCATAATGGAGGTGTACTACTAATCTGTTTTTTATTATTGAATTCAATGTAATGACAGTTGCAACACATAAACATATACATAATTACACACACACATACTAAGGATGTTATCGATTACCTGGTGAATTTGAAACATTTGCAAATCATCCTTAGATATGAACATTTGGAAGATGTGGCAATTTTTTATTCGTGAGAATGGCGTCACCTACATCACGTCACTACTTCTGTGTTTTTCCTACCAAAAGTGTCGTCACGTGGCATTGGGCAACGTCACTGTTGTGAACATGAGGCTTGTCCCGCGGTGTCTGTGTGTGTGTGTGTGTACGTACGCTCGCGCTGCAGGTACTCGACGCAGCGATGGTTTTCGATGGCGATGAGCACCTGCAGGAGGTCGTGAACCGTGGCGTTCTTCTGGGCCCACAGCCAGAGCACCTCCTCGGCCATGCTGTGTCCTCGCCTGGAATTCTCGATTTCGCGCACCTTCATTTGGTCGTCCAGAACGTGTGCCGCTGCAATATCAGCGACGACTTGTGTCAAGACGCGTTGAACCACCGCGGATATTTTGTTGCGCGATTGTGCCGTACAGCTCTCTCAATGTGTTCAGCTCCACGTGTCTGTCGGGGAGCTACTCCAGGAACTGAATTCAGGTCCTGAATAAGCCTCCAACATGCACAGCAAAACGTCGAACATCATGCCCGAACTGAATGTGCCCGGCACATTCAGTCCAGACTTTGGAAAGGGCCCAAAGTTTTCACGGCTTCACTTTGTGCATTTAGATTGACAAATTTCACAAAGGTCCTGGCCTATGACGGTGCACAGTTGCAAAACATTGCTTTGTAGGCAATTGTTGATGCGTTGCACAGATATGGGAACACTCTGAAATTGACTCGTCGAAGGCTGTGGTGGGACAGCAAATGGTTCCTCAAATATCGCTGGGACCTTTTTGCCAGTATCCAAAATGATGAAAAAAATTAGATGAAAAGGAAGCTTTCAATGCACACACTTTTATTTGCACTCAAATGTGGAAAATAACTTATTTTGACCCCGGAATTAATCAAATTTTATGTGCTCAATAAAAGTATGAGGCTTGCATATAGAAAATTAAGCATGCTCTGATTCATATATGCCTTGTCTTTGCAACCGATTCGCCTAAATCAGAGACAGTCTTCTTTTTGGCCTCGTCGATGTTTTTACACAAGTACGTGTGGTTGACGCAGAATTGATGGAGGGTCTTTATGCCACCAATTTGGTCAGACAGGTGTGGCCTGAGGTAAAAACCATTGTACATAATTCAAAACAAAACATCCAAATTTGTTTTCTAAACTCTTCACACACCATAAGCATTGACACACACCTGCATCAATTATATCCAAAACTTTGGATTTGTCTCGCAGACTCAGGGATTTATACTTCAGTCCCTTGCCATTGCTTCTTGGTGTAGGTGTAGACGACATTGCTGAGAGGGTTGGCTTGCGCAGAGTGCACATAAACAAGGTAAAGTCCCAAGCGACGAGTCTGCACTGACGCTCACCACGCTCACCACGCTCACCACATTCACCACGCTCACCACGCTCACCACGTTCACCACACTCACCACGTTCACCACGCTCACCACGCTCACCACGTTCACCACGCTCACCACGCTCACCACACTCACCACGTTCACCACGCTCACCACGCTCACCACGCTCACCACGTTCACCACGCTCACCACGCTCACCACGTTCACCACGCTCACCACGCTCACCACGTGCGCCGCCGCCAGACTGAGTCGTTGTTTTGGTCGTGCCGTCGCTCCACGTGCGTGCCGAACTTGGACCATTCGGTACGGCAATTCGGCTCATGGCGAATTACTAACACACCGTATATGTGCCGAAAGCACAGCCGTGCCGACTTATCCCCCATTACAAATGATCAAATACCGAAATAACGAGGTTTTACTGGAAACATAAAACACTGACACACCAGTGAAAACCCAATCACGATACAATATTCTTTGCAGCACACGAAATTCCCCTTCTTACCTTTCCCAATGCAATGCAGCCCTACATAAAAAATAATCCTACGTTAAAGAATGTAGGGCTGAATTGATTCTAAAAAAACAGAACTGGCAAAAAGCCTCTGTTCATTAAACCCACCGCAGCCATTCAGGCCAGTGTGGGAAATTCCCTACCCTGTTTGTTTAACTTTCTTCAAGCTCTTTCAAATCTTGAAGACCTACAGTGAACCCCCATGAGTAAAGAAAAGGTACAAAATGTACATCTCGTCACGAGCCGACCTCACGGCATCTCCTAAAGCGTACAAAAAAAAGTCAAAGGTGGGCGTTGACAAGTTCACTTGCAAAGTTGAACTGCTACGACTGCACAAGTCGGACACAGCGGTCGATGCCGCGTCCACTCACGACCAGGAGAGAATGGCTCCACCGAGTAGACCGACTTCACCGAACACCCCTCCCTACCGAGACGGGCCCCTTTGAGCGGCCCACCCCTCTCCGGAGACATCACACACGCGTGCCTCTATGACGGACCAACTTTTAGCGAATTCACTGCTCGATGAAGACCTTCACCAACACCACGTTGGTCACAGTGGTTGGTTGGTTCAACATGCATACTTCACAACGCTGATCAGTGTGAGTGAGATGTTAACTACCTCGCCTGGTATACAGGAGGACGTGGGTTCGATCCCAACCCCTGTATATTTGGAGTCCGCTACCCCTGCCGCGGTTGTCTGGCTTGACCAACCTGGATGTGAAGGTGTAGCTGTTGCGCTGCATCAGCCTTACGGAAGAAGGATGACCAATGGAATCAATGACTCAGACATTATGACTGGGTTGAAACACATTCCAATCATTGAGGCATGTTGTGCCATTAGACCACAAATCAAAATAAACTTTTGCTCAAATAAGCATTTGGGTGGTGCTCATTTGCTGTGTTATAGCCCGAGCCAGTGGTGGAAATTCCACATTCCTATGACGGGAGGGGGGAGTTTAAATAGGATTAACCACTGTTGACTTCCTGAAAGTGTCACGGATTTCATAGACCCTAGGTGAACGATAGTCTGAGTCAACTCCCAACTAGGATTTGGACTTGCACAACTCAAGGATATGCTCCAATTTGTATACTCTCAATTCATGACAGAACGTATCCCATGTACCTTGTGTCCTGTTGTCTTATCCCATGCATTATCTTGCCCATGGACCACGTTAATCCTCCTGTAATCCGCAAACTCTCCAACAAATTGAACACTACAATCCTAACAGCAGACTTCATGCTGTGCATGATACTGCTGGCAACATGGAGTTTCCCTGCCATGCGGTTGACCAACTTTGTGTAGCGAGCTTTGTTATCATCGGATGGTAAGAAGTGGGCATAAAAGATAGTGTCGTCCATGGACAACAAGGTCGTCTGCCCAGTTGGCATCATGTTCGGGTTTCTGTCAGGCTCAGGGCGCTGGTTGGCATTGTATCAACAATGGAGAAGTCTTTAGCAAGTGCTTTCAAACCACTACACAAATTACACACGTTATTGGCCACATCATATCCGACCACAAAATGAAATAACAGAAGGAAAATAAGATTACATGTTTTTGGTTATAAATGAATGTGCTTAACCACAATATCAAGTGCCAAAAGCATGTACAACACATTTGACCACATCACTTCTTGATGAGGGCCCTCCCCATGCCGTTGAGGCCTTGGTGAAGCGTTGACACATTGCTTCACGATGCCAGTAATAGCAGGTTGGTGAAGATAAGGAGCGTAGACGTAGAGACATAAAGTATAGTGTAGAAATGAACTTTGCTGACCACTCCCTTGTGCGGCCCACCACTTGGCCTAGCGGTGAGTTCACCCGCTGTATGCAAGGTGATCAACCCTCGAAACATAAAGCAGGTGAACTATCCAGGCACAGCCCTTCTTAGCTTCTGCTATCGGGTGACGGTGGATGCATTCCCGGTGAGTTTGGCTTCAGCTCCAGTGACGTATTGATCTAAACCGAAATTAAAACCACCATTTTGGCACGGAGGGTACCCAGGTAAAGGAAATCATGAACTCTAATAAAGTTTGCTAAAGCTTGGAATTTGCTGTAGTAACGTAAATAAATTGGCCCGCTCCATTTATTTCCCTTAAAATGCTAAATATATGTAAATCTGTGTACTGTAGTAACGCCATGACGTGGGGCAGTGGCAGCACTACGATGGGCATGGGGAGGACGTGGGGATGGATGTCTCTGTGTCATTCTATTCCATCCTGAATTGATTTTAAATGCCAACTTTTGTTTTAAAGGAGGGAATTTTCTTAAATTAGTCACCCGTTTTTTTTCTTTTTTTAATAGACTTGTACATCTTTAAATACATTTATATGTTCTTATTTAAACAATAATTAAAGGAATGTTTAGATGGGGCATCAACTTCGATCTTATTCTTGTAACCTTTTTTGTGAATTATAGTTTTACTCAGCTCAGCCATGTACCTTTGACACAAAAATTTGTATCGTGCCTCATCTATACTGTTCTGTATAATAAATTAATTCGAAAGAGAAATGTGGCTTAACAAAACATTAGATTATTAACAAATGTTTTTAACCAAGCCAAAAGTGCAATCTAAAAAAACCACGGATAGAATCCCACTCTGGCAATGTATCTTCTCAACGCGTTAAGACTCTGCAATGAAATTCATGCGACTCGTTTTGTTTTTGTCAATCGCCAGCAAGGATTTGAAGTGGAAACCTTCCGATTGTGATCGAGCGAATACCACGGGTAGTACAGAAGTGGATTTAGTGAATGCGGAGTCAGAACAGTTGAAGTTGGAGTGATAGCAGTGCGAGTAGACCGGTGGAGTTAATGTGAAGGCAGTACAGCTGTGGTGTTGGTGGATGTGGGGCAGTGGAGCTGGTGAGTGTGGGTGGTGGTGTGAGTGGGTGGTGGTGAATATGGGTGGGTGGTGGTGTAAGTGGGGGTTGGTGTGAGTGGTGGGTGGTGAATATGGGTGGGTGGTGGTGTGAGTGGGTGGTGGTGTGAGTGGGGGGTGGTGTGAGTGGGGGGGTGGTGTGAGTGGGGGGTGGTGTGAGTGGGGCTGGGTGGTGTGAGTGGGGCTGGGTGGTGTGAGTGGGGCTGGGTGGTGTGAGTGGGGGGTGGTGTGAGTGGGGGGTGGTGTGAGTGGGTGGTGGTGTGAGTGGGGGGTGGTGTGAGTGGGGCTGGGTGGTGTGAGTGGGGGGTGGTGTGAGTGGGTGGTGGTGTGAGTGGGTGGTGGTGTGAGTGGGGGGTGGTGTGAGTGGGTGGTGGTGTGAGTGGGGGGTGGTGTGAGTGGGGGGTGGTTAATGTGGGGGGTGGTGGTGTGAGTGGGGCTGGGTGGTGTGAGTGGGGGGTGGTGTGAGTGGGTGGTGGTGTGAGTGGGTGGTGGTGTGAGTGGGGGGTGGTGTGAGTGGGTGGTTGTGTGAGTGGGGGGTGGTGTGAGTGGGGGGTGGTTAATGTGGGGGGTGGTGGGGTGAGTGGGGCTGGGTGGTGTGAGTGAGGGGTGGTGAATGTGGATGGTGAATGTGGTGGTGTGAGTGGGGCTGGGTGGTGTGAGTGGGGGGTGGTGTGAGTGGGTGGTGGTGTGAGTGGGTGGTGGTGTGAGTGGGTGGTGGTGTGAGTGGGTGGTGGTGTGAGTGGGGGGTGGTGTGAGTGGGGGGTGGTGTGAGTGGGGGGTGGTGTGAGTGGGTGGTGGTGTGAGTGGGTGGTGGTGTGAGTGGGGGTGGTGTGGTGGTGGTGTGAGTGGGGGGTGGTGTGAGTGGGGGGTGGTTAATGTGGGGGGTGGTGGTGTGAGTGGGGCTGGGTGGTGTGAGTGGGGGGTGGTGTGAGTGGGTGGTGGTGTGAGTGGGGGGTGGTGTGAGTGGGGGTGGGTGTGAGTGGGGGTGGTGTGAGTGGGGGGTGGTGTGAGTGGGGGGTGGTGTGAGTGGGTGGTGGTGTGAGTGGGGGGTGGTGTGAGTGGGTGGTGGTGTGAGTGGGGGGTGGTGTGAGTGGGGGGTGGTGTGAGTGGGGGGTGGTGTGAGTGGGGGGTGGTGTGAGTGGGTGGTGGTGTGAGTGGGGGGTGGTGTGAGTGGGTGGTGGTGTGAGTGGGGGGTGGTGTGCGTGGGGGGGTGGTTAATGTGGGGGGTGGTGGTGTGAGTGGGGCTGGGTGGTGTGAGTGAGGGGTGGTGAATGTGGATGGTGAATGTGGTGGTGTGAGTGGGGCTGGGTGGTGTGAGTGGGGGTGGTTGTGAGTGGGTGGTGGTGTGAGTGGGTGGTGGTGTGTGAGGGGTGGTGGTGTGAGTGGTGGTGGTGTGAGTGGGGGGTGGTGGTGAGGGGGGGTGGTGTGACGTGGGGGGTGGTGTGAGTGGGGGTGGTGTGAGTGGGTGGTGGTGTGAGTGGGTGGTGGTGTGAGTGGGGGGTGGTGTGAGTGGGTGGTGGTGTGAGTGGGGGGTGGTGTGAGTGGGGGGTGGTTAATGTGGGGGGTGGTGGTGTGAGTGGGGCTGGGTGGTGTGAGGGGGGGGTGGTGTGAGTGGGTGGTGGTGTGAGTGGGGGGTGGTGTGAGTGGGGGTGGTGTGAGTGGGGGGTGGTGTGAGTGGGGGGTGGTGTGAGTGGGTGGTGGTGTGAGTGGGGGGTGGTGTGAGTGGGGGGTGGTGTGAGTGGGTGGTGGTGTGAGTGGGGGGTGGTGTGAGTGGGGGGTGGTTTGAGTGGGGGGGTGGTGTGAGTGGGGGGTGGTGTGAGTGGGTGGTGGTGTGAGTGGGTGGTGGTGTGAGTGGGGGGTGGTGTGAGTGGGGGGTGGTTAATGTGGGGGGTGGTGGTGTGAGTGGGGCTGGGTGGTGTGAGTGAGGGGTGGTGAATGTGGATGGTGAATGTGGTGGTGTGAGTGGGGCTGGGTGGTGTGAGTGGGGGGTGGTGTGAGTGGGTGGTGGTGTGAGTGGGTGGTGGTGTGAGTGGGTGGTGGTGTGAGTGGGTGGTGGTGTGAGTGGGGGGTGGTGTGAGTGGGGGGTGGTGTGAGTGGGGGGTGGTGTGAGTGGGTGGTGGTGTGAGTGGGTGGTGGTGTGAGTGGGGGGTGGTTGTGAGTGGGGGGTGGTTAATGTGGGGGGTGGTGGTGTGAGTGGGGCTGGGTGGTGTGAGTGGGGGGTGGTGTGAGTGGGTGGTGGTGTGAGTGGGGGGTGGTGTGAGTGGGGGTGGTGTGAGTGGGGGGTGGTGTGAGTGGGGGGTGGTGTGAGTGGGTGGTGGTGTGAGTGGGGGTGGTGTGAGTGGGGGGTGGTGTGAGTGGGTGGTGGTGTGAGTGGGGGGTGGTGTGAGTGGGGGGTGGTGTGAGTGGGGGGTGGTGTGAGTGAGGGGTGGTGAATGTGGATGGTGGTGTGAGTGATGTGAGTGGGGGGTGGTGTGAGTGGGGGGTGGTGTGAGTGGGTGGTGGTGTGAGTGGGGGGTGTGTGAGTGGGTGGTGGTGTGAGTGGGTGGTGGTGTGAGTGGGTGGTGGTGTGAGTGGGTGGTGGTGTGAGTGGGTGGTGGTGTGAGTGGGTGGTGGTGTGAGTGGGTGGTGGTGTGAGTGGGGGGTGGTGTGAGTGGGGGGTGGTTAATGTGGGGGGTGGTGGTGTGAGTGGGGCTGGGTGGTGTGAGTGAGGGGTGGTGAATGTGGATGGTGAATGTGGGTGGTGTGAGTGGGTGGTGGTGTGAGTGGGTGGTGGTGAATATGGGTGGGTGGTGGTGTGAGTGGGGGGTGGTGTGAGTGGGGGGTGTGTGGAGTGGGGGGTGGTGTGAGTGGGGGGTGGTGTGAGTGGGGGGTGGTGTGAGTGGGCTGGGTGGTGTGAGTGAGGGGTGGTGAATGTGGATGGTGGTGTGAATGTGGATGGTGGTGTGAGTGGGTGGTGGTGTGAGTGGGGGGTGGTGTGAGTGGGGTCCGGGTGGTGTGAGTGTGATGGTGAATGTGGTGGTGTGAGTGGGGGGTGGTGTGAGTGGGGTCCGGGTGGTGTGAGTGTGATGGTGAATGTGGGTGGTGTGAGTGGGTGGTGAATGTGGATGGTGAATGTGGGTGGTGTGAGTGGGTGGTGAATGTGGATGGTGAATGTGGTGAATGTGAGTGGGGTCCGGGTGGTGGAGGTTCCTCACCTAAGTGCCTCGCGCCGCTCACGGAGTCGCACGAGTCCAGGATCCGCGCCACGCCGAAGAAGACGGCGGGGGGCAGCTCGTGCACGCGCAGGCGCCACCACGCGGGCTCCGTGCCCCCCACGGGCTCCATGCCCCCCACGACTGCCACTACCACCACTCGACTACCACCACCACCACTCTACTGTTACACTGACTCTACTACTGCTGCTGATACCACTACTCTACTGTTACACTGATTCTACTACCACTACCACTACTATACTGTTACACTGACTCTACTACTGCTGCAACTACTCAGTCTGCTGTCACAGTGTACTACTACTGCTGCCACTACTGCCAGAATGAATGTAGTAGTGACACGACTGCACTAATTACCACCCACTACTGGGACCAGCGCTGTACAACTACCACTGACACCACCAACACCGCCGTCAACTCACCACCAACACCGCCGTCAACTCACCACCAACACCACCAACACCGCCGTCAACTCGCCCTGTAGGAACACCGCCACGTGGTGGTACTGCAGCTGCTTCCTGCTCCTACCGATTATCGTGCCGTCAATGACTACAGCCCCCCCCTAATCACCTATTAGCGAATATCGATTATCGTGCCGTCAATGACTACAGCCCCCTCCCTAATCACCTGTTAGCGAATATCGATTATCGTGCCGTCAATGACTACCTCCCTACCATTGACAACTTTAAACAGCCCCCCTAATCACCTGTTAGACCTACCACTGACTACTCCCAATACACCCCCACGGCTATTATTGAGTATCGATACACCCCCACGGGTATTAGCGAGTATCGATTATCGCGCCGTCGTCGCCTCTCCCCCGCTGGAACCTGCGGCGAGTGACGCCGCCGTCGATTTGAATCGACGATTCACTTCTATTCAAACAGAGTTGTAGTTAGGTATCGATGTCCGCAAAGGTTCTATTATAAATATATATTTTTAAATCATCTCCCAGTAGGAGATGTATTAGAATTTAATCCCAGCGATGCCATCCCAGCGAGCAGCAGAAATTCTTGACTCCGTTTAGTGCCGAATCTGGAGCCAGCTGAATCGATTACCGAAGTTGAATCGATTACCTCCTTCGATTCCTAACGCGGAAATTCCCACGGCGCGCGTTCATCCCTTCGCGGACGAGCGGCGAGATAATCGATTCTTTTTATTGCGCGGAGTCGAATCGCAATCGACGAATCACTAAAGGATGCCCCTTTCTTAGGGGCCGTCCCTAAATGACGTCACGCACCTAAGGGGGGGGGGGAGTCAGACATTTGTGACGATGTGTGACGAGGGGGGGGGGGTGAGAAATGTGACGTCACATCATAATGCGCAACTTTAAATAAATACAGACAACACGTTCTACTTAGTTAAATAGACTTTTAAATAAATGTTTTCTCCTACAACATCAGAGTGCAGCGCCACATTAAATAGGCACTACAATGACAATAGTTTAAAGAGATTTTTTTTTGGGGGGGGGGGGCAGAGCTTTGTGACGTCATATTTGAGGGGGGGGTCTAACCCTCTAAACCCCTAATTCTTTGTGTGGAGTGTGGTGGGTGGTGGGCATCACGGGGTGGGTGGACGGTGTGTGTGGTGGGTTATGCGTGGTGGGTGTGGTGATAGTGGTCGTGGTTCACACCGATCCACGACCACCACCACCTCTACTGTGCGCTGAACCGGCCACCACAGCAGCAGCAGCGCGAGTCGGAGGAGTGAGCGGATGGCTCTCCCTACGCGGGTCAGGCCCCCTCGCTTCGTCTCCTCCCCATTACCTGCTCCTCTTTCCTTGTCTTCTCCTTCTCCGCCACCTGCACCACCCTCTCCAGCACCACCATCTCCTCCACCACCATCTCCTCCACCAATGTCTCCTCTTCCTCCTCCACCTGCACCACCATCTCCTGCACCACCATCTCCTCCACCACCATCTCCTCCACCAATGTCTCCTCCACCTGCACCACCCTCTCCTGCACCACCATCTCCTCCACCACCATCTCCTCCACCAATGTCTCCTCCTCCTCCTCCACCTGCACCACCATCTCCTCCACCACCATCTCCTCCACCAATGTCTCCTCCTCCTCCACCTGCACCACCCTCTCCAGCACCACCATCTCGTCCTCCTGCTCCTTCTTTGTCTCCACCTCCTCCGTCTACCCCCCCCCCCCCCCATCTCCTCTTCTTCCTGCACCACCAGCTCCTCCACCAGTGATGAGAGAAGCCCTGCTTCTCTCTGGCAGTCATCTTTCAGCAATGGGATGTTTTGGCCCAATACCTGTTTACACTGTGTGTGGGTCCCACAGTCTCACACAGGGACTCACAGTCTCACACTGGGACCCACAGACTCACACAGAGACCCACAGACTCACACAGAGACCCACAGTGTCACACAGAGACCCACAATCTCACACAGAGGCCCACATCCTTAACACGGATTCACACGCTTGGACACTCCTGTACGCTATCAAGTAGACGTATTTTCCACCAGAGGGCAGAACGTAACCATGTACAGACAGCTCTGTACAGGTGCTTTAGTACTACGACTCCCACATGGTTCAGTGTCAATCGCTCAGGCTCCCCAGAGCCAGACTAGAAACTCCCGTAGGGTTCAATGTTATACAAATTGCGTGCACATGGGCAGCTCTGCCAATCCACTGCTGGATAGATGCATCCCGCTTGCCGGGTCACACGTGACCCACCACACGTGACTCACCACGTGTGCTCGCCGTGGCCGGGAGATGTCTTTCAGATCGCCGGGTTCCGAGTGCAGTGCGCTAACCACTGCGCCACGACTCCTCCGCCACTGTGTACAATACGCGTGCCTATGCGTGTGGTGTGAATCAATGCAGTGTAGACTTACACACAGACCCATAGATTTACAGACCCATACACAAACACACGCAACCATTGACTTACACACAGACCCATAGACTTACAGATCCATAGACAAACACACGCAACCATTGACTTACACACAGACTCATAGATTTACAGACCCATATACAAACACACGTAACCATTGACTTACACACAGATCCATAGACAAACACACGCAACCATTGACTTACACACAGACCCATAGACTTACAGATCCATATACAAACACACGCAACCATTGACTTACACACAGACCCATAGACAAACACACGCAACCATTGACTTACACACAGACCCATAGACTTACAGATCCATAGACAAACACACGCAACCATTGACTTACACGCAGACCCATAGACTTACAGATCCATAGACAAACACACGCAACCATTGACTTACACACAGACCCATAGACTTACAGATCCATAGACAAACACACGCAACCATTGACTTACACGCAGACCCATAGACTTACAGATCCATAGACAAACACACGCAACCATTGACTTACACGCAGACCCATAGACTTACAGATCCATAGACAAACACATGCAACCATTGACTTACAGATCCACAGACAAACACACCCGACCACTGACTTGCACACAGATACATAGACATACACACACAACCACTAACTTATACACAGATCCATAGACACACACACACAAGCACTGACTTTCACACAGACCCATAGACAGACGCACAGAACCACTGCCATAGACATACGGTCTACATAGCATCATTGACTTGCACATACCCATAGACACACACAGACCCACAGACTCAAATCGATACCCATACACTTACATAGGGACCCATAGACACCCACACAAGTACTCAGACTCCCACAAAGACGCACAGCCTCACCCGGACACCCACAGACGAGAAGGCCTGTGCAGATGGCACTGGTCGCACTCATTCCACACAACGTGCTTGCCACAAACGACCACAACGCCTTCGCCGATCTCGTCAAGGAATATAAACCATCACGCGAACTCCGGCGGTCATCCTCGCAGCAACAAAGGCGGTGGTCCCCGTATCGCGCGGCGCTTTCAGACGCGCTTCTGCGGCCGTCTGGAACGCTCTTCCTTCCGATATTAGCAAGCCGCTGGAGCGATGCACTTTTACATCATCATCATCTAGATTGACAAACTCATTTCTTTAGAACTGCTTGTTGTGTTTAGTTTGCTGTCGTTCTCCCGCACCTCCGATTAGCGCGGTTGGCTACGTACGGTGCGAACCAGGTTCTGCATACAGAGGAAGGAGAGGGACATTGCGGGGGAGATGGGAAGTCTACGGAGGAGGGAGATGTGGTGACAGTGAACGTGAAGTGGCACAGAATATACAATCTGAGCACTGCAGTGACATCACACACACACACACACCACGTGTGCATCACGTCACGGATTCGTGTTTGCACATTCTCTCTCTCACACACACAGCAGCAGCAGCAATCGGAGAGACCACAACTTCCTCGGGAGTTTCATGTCCTGAAGAAGATCCCAGCAACGTGGAGCAAACCGTCGGACATCGTGCTGAACAAACGCGCGGCTCACCCCGAGCACATGCGATGATTCTTTACTCTTCTGTGTTCGTGTATTGGATGAGACCGAGTTTTATTTCGCATTTACACGCGATGTTTAGTTAATGCAGTCAGTGTCCTTTTGCAGACATTATTGCATCGCATTTCTTTACGCACATTTAATTGCGAAGTACCAATTCTCATGAAACTAGTTGTTAAAATGTACTCTAGACATATTTGCTCAGCGTAATTTTTTTAAAATAATTCAGTGTGCTTAAAGTGTCTTGAGGTAGGCTCAGGTCACCCCTTGCAAAAGAATCCCACGACGTCCCACGTGCCTCTCCGCACGTGTATTGCATCCAGTGGTAAAAACAGCAGATGCCCAGTGACTGAACTGCTTACTGCTGATGATACACTGAATGTCAAAACCGGTTCAATTTTAATTACTGTTATTACTGTTGTTGTTACTGTTATTGTCTTGAGGCAACAATAACAATAAGGTTACAATCCTGTCCACAGGGGGCGCCCAGGGGCATCGTGGCTGAAGTAAAAATGGATGACGGTACTGCACTGATGAGTCCGAGTGAGAGTGAAACCAGTCTACAGCGATCTCGTTCCACTGCTGCCTGCTGCTCGGCTGGGCCTACATCTTCTCCTACTCTTGAGTTGGTGGCGCTAAATGACAAAATTGCCGCACGTTCAGTTATGTTTGAGCCGGTGGTCTGGCTAAGGCTGAACGTGTTTGTGCGTGCAACGCAATACCCTGCGCTTGCTGTGGTGACGGATTGCAGGTGTCGACTTGCAGGAAGTGAAGTGATGGTTCTATGCGAGGTGGAGTGCTGGGACGCTATTAAGCACGTGGATAGAAACGCGTTTTTGTTCCGTTGGAAGTAAATCGACACGTTCACTTGAAATTGAATCTTGTACATTTTATTTAATGCAAGGTTACACGTTGTTTTACGTATGAATGTGCCAAAGTTGGTTGGCTTTTGATACATGCCTCTGACCTCACGTCCCTGGGTTTAAATAAACGACGCGAGTTCGGTGTGTCATCGGCTTTTGGTTGTGACCAACACATACAGGGATACAGAGCCCGCGTGATTAAAGCACTCCAATGAAGCCAGAACACACCGCATACGTTGGTGAACCGGGCCATACATAATAACCATTGCAGCTCACCTGCTCTGTGTGAACAGCATAAGTTTAACTGGAACTGAAAGCGAGGCCGATTCTATTCCTTGACACTCGATATACAGTATAACGAACAGGCTGCAATGTACCTGCTAGTTTACTCATCTGTGATGGTTGTTGATTACATTATTTGAAGCAGAGTTCTACGGCACGATATGTGGAGCGTAAGCATACACTTCAATCGTACTCTGGTACAAGGTCCAAGTCCTAACCCCAAGTTACCGGCAGATGTTTGGAAACCCATCTTTCGAGTCTGAGCCAGTTTTTACGACAGACTTGACCGTCGCTATCCCCAAAGAGCATTCCCCGTGTGATCAGTGCGGCGGATTTGTGGTGGAATTGGGACTCGGAGGAGCGCGCGATGTCAAATGTTCAGACTTGCACGGAATGCGTCTCTGCACGAGCACGCGAATTGGCACCATCAGACGACGGGGCTACTCCGACGAGCGTGC